TGAGAGGTGGGAATCACCAGAGGCCCCAAGCTACGATATTATAACGATGCTTGAGTCACGATACAATATTATTGCGATTTTAAACATTTTGCGACAGGCTGAGAATTGTGATATTTTGAATCTCATTTTTTTAACTGCATATTATGTACACAAAATTAAACTAAATCAAGAAGTGTTTTGTCAAATAAGGAAAAATTCTCAGTCTTTTTGTCTCACTTCTGTCTGTTCATTTCTACACAATGGGAGTCGAGCCCACAGACTGACCAACACTGTGATAAAAGTAAAAGGCTGCATGCACCTCACAATCTGAACTGATGGTGTTTCAGTCTGATCAAACTTTACTGAACACAAACATGTACGGACGACTGAACAACTGCAGTAATTTTTGCAAATGCAACTTGTTCAAAATGAATTGTGCAACCCCTCAGCAATTAAAAAAACAAAACACACATATTTGCATATTTACAGTGCTACTAGCTGTTTCTGTTGATGTTTAGCAGGGCTTGTTCAGAATAAAGGCATAACTCTCTTCTCTATCCCTCATCACAAATAAACTACTTATTCTAAACAGTCAGACAGTTTGGTGGAAGCAAACTTAACTGTTGTTTTTTGATAACTTGTGAAATTTTGCTGAGAAAGCTTACATTTTATTCGTCAAGATAAGAAGTTTATTCACTGTTCTCTTTTCACCACAGTGTCAGTCAGTCCCTCTGGTCCAGTGCAAGAAGACAAAATGTGACACTGACTTGCAGTGCTAATGCAACCCAGCTGTAAAGAACTACACCTGGTACAGAGCTGATGGAGGCCAGGAGACTTTCATGGGGACTGGACGTGTTTTAAACATCAAAGCTTCTAGGAGAGAGGACCTTTTTTCTGCCGGGCAGCAAATGAAGAGGGAAGCTTTTTTTTACATTAAAGTTGTAAATTTAACACCAAATCTCTACATTATGATATCGTTAAAAGAAAGCAGAACACATTTTAGCTCATGATGCACATTTTTTCCCCTCATTTGTTTCACATACTTTTTTACTCTGTTGTACATTGTATGGATATCTGGATTTTTTAAATGTTATAATGAATAAAATGATATTTTTTCCACTGTGACAAATATAAGTGAGCATCTCACATTGCAGCAGAGCCAATGAGGAGGAGAGTCAGAGCTGCATCCATCTTTGTGTTTCAGAAGAGGCAGAAAGTCTGGGGAGAATAAATGTAGATTTATTTTTAGTGTATTTCACTCCAAATGAATTTAGATTTTAAGAATAATTTCCTTTTGAGGAAAAGGTTGGATCCAGAGTTGAGTTAACTTATCTGATCCCAATAAAACTAAAAGACTTCAAGGTGTGCAGCTTCTCATTTTAAGGTTTAAATTGAAATCTTTCTGCATTTCATTCAATTCATGTAAAGTAGCTCATTATTAAAACGTAGATGATGAAATGATAATAAAATAAAAAACAGGAAGTTTGACTGCCTGCCTCAAGGAAAAGAGACAAATATTCTTTGTTTTTTCTTGAGTTCATCTTGTTTACAACCTCTTTAAGGAAACTATTTGATCAGTAATAACGCCCAGAAGAAAATCTGCATGAGAGCTTTAAGATGTTTAAAACTTGATCAAAGTGAATGTTTTTATTCTTGCCCCTGTCACAAAGTTTGTTTGATCAACTTCAGAAAAAATGCACTTCTTAAAAAAAAGCCTTTATGATATTTGAATATGATATTAAAATAGATTTAAAAGTGATATAAACTTACATTTTTCTCAGGTCTTTTTGAGCAGAGAGGTGAAGGATGTTTAGAGAAGTGAAGTTCCTCATCATTTGGTCGCCTTCTTAAACAGCATTCAAAATTTGACTTGAAAATGAGGAAGACAGAAAAGTGAACATTCATGTTCACATTGAATGTTCAGCACTTTTTCTTTGAATAGTTGTCACACTGTTTTCACAACCCAGGCTCAGTGAGCTGGACAAACAGGGAGACCACACATTTTTTAATTTATTAAATAATAATTTATTGCAAACTAAGGCAAATCATCCTGTTCAAAGAATGTGCAATCTGTAAATCAGTGGTGGTTGTAATGGTGAATGTGTTAAGTGTTGACAAGAGAGTGACAGATTGAGAAGCCAGTTTAAATACTAAGGCCCAGCCTGCCCAGGTGTATATAAATTGAACTGGCTCCGCCCCTTTCTACCTGAACTTAAGTGGGGAGCGATACAAAGCAGCAGGAAGAGCACTGACAGTCAGGGGTCATCACACCCCCCCTAAAATACTGGGTCCCACCCAGTACCCATAAACAAATTACTATATTTACCAAATTTAGTTACCAAACATAAGCAATAACATACATATTTGACCAAACCCAACATCACTTATACTTTCCCAATGTTAGTTTCAGTTTCCCTCTCAGCCGCCTGGATCAGGTCCTAGGACCACTTTAAGAGTAGGAAAACAAACTGTGATTAGCAGGCTAACTAAATGTTCCTTATAGAGATCAGTCTGAATTAAGCATCTTTTAACACCAGTGGCCAATGCTCTATTGACAAGGCTAGTAACTATCATACAAAATCAGAGGCACAACAGTGGCACCAACATACATGTCAAAATGGTGTAGTGCCCAAATAGGAACCAAACTTTCTGTCTCAATGATGAGATCAAACTGACACAAAGTCGACCTCTTGACAAGCCACTCAAGCCCTAGCTTTCTTGCTTGAACTACTACAAAAACTTATTTATTTCAGAACAGACAGGTGCCACCTCTGGACACTCTGTTACAACATCATGTTTCTGCAGGACAAATTGCATCTGGGTTAATTGCAAATCACTGATCAAAACTCACCTCTTCAAACAATCTTTTGATGTATGATTGTGATATGTGTTCTGTTTATCTGTAGCTGTACCTTATGTTGTTGTCTTTATGATTTGTGTGGAATGCTGCAATGTCTGTTAGTCTTTCCTTACTGTGCTGTTTCTTTTGTCTTTTTTATCAAATGTTTAGTGTGTAAGAGTTTTTGAAAAGCGCTTATGAATAAAATGTATTATTATTATTATTATTATTATTATTATTAGATATAAGAGAGACATTGGCCGATATGGAGCTCAGCGTAAGGGAAGGAAGACTGGTTATATTCTTTCACAAATTCATTCATTCTTTCACTTCAACTTAAACTACTTCCTCTGTCTACCTGCTCTGGTGATCAGCTGTTAATGGGTGTTTATTCTTTAAGTGATTAACCAACCAGAGTCGGGCACAACCTCTCTCAACAAATCATACTGCTGCGACAAAATGCTAAAATAGTTCTTTCTCTTCAACAGTCATTCTGTCATTTCAAGGCAACTGCTGCAACCCACCACCGCCCCAGTTATCTTATCATTTCTGTGTCCAGAGGCTGTCCGTAATGTGTGAAAAAAAAAAGAACGTCCTGTTAGTGCTGTCATTTTATATGATGCAACCCGAATACTGGATGTTGTCCTGTTTGTTGGGGTAATGTTGAATGTAAGTTGTAAGATATTGAGACACAGTCCCACGGTGATACTGATAAACTCAACTAAATAATTCATGGCAGGATTAGGAGAAGGCCGTTATTTTGTTTCCTCGAGGAACAGGAACACCTCTAATAGCATTCATCAACAATGTCCTCCTGTCTGGGTTTTCTCAGATTAAATTGAGTAGAAGTAAAAACCTGAGCTTGTTGATTTGTAAACGTGACTGAACAAGGACTATCTTTCAATGATAAAATCAAGCTGGTTAAAACACGTTGATGGAAACTGAGACCACGAACTTCCCCAGCAGTATTAGGACGCCTTTCTCAACCGCCAGAAGAGCGGAAACTATAAATTCAGAGATAAACATGTATCTGTTACCACTCTGTTGCATCATCACCTCTTCTTTCAACTACAGCCTGTTAGCGTTTGTTAACCCAGGAGACCTGTTGCTGTCACTTTGAACGTGAAAATTTTAACATTCTTGTGTGATTTAGGATATCAGCTCGTCAACACTTTTCTTCAATTTCAAAACATTGGACAGAGCTTTCTTTCCCCGCCCCTCCCTCCTAGAGCCAATGTCAAACAGGTTGCTATGTCGTGGACACTGAAGCTTCAGTTTTTAACCAGCTCTGCATCGGTCTAGAGACTTTTCTGCTCTCTAACCTCTCTCCTTTTTTCAGAAGCAACCGCCTACCTTCTCTGCTCAAAATACAATGATTCTGCGCCACAATGGAAAACTAGAAGGAGGACATACCGACTGCTACATTTACAGATAAACCAGCACTTAAACAGATCATGTTTCCTTAATGTCTGATGATATAGAAAGACCATTTCAAGATTTAATTCAGAAGATGTCTTACATATTGGACCTTTAAACTGTCCTCCTTAACCTCGTCTTTGATTCAGGGCCATTTAAACCCTGTCCTCTGGAACTGGCCTCACAGGCTTTCTTTAATCTGATTGGAAAACAAGAGCATGCAATGAATGAATCAAAACTTTATTACAGACTCAGGGTCCAAATAATAAAATCCAAAAGACATAAAATACAATACAAGATACATGAAATGCAAAGCACAGTATAAAAACCTGCAAGTTACATGCAATGCTTGGTATAAAATCACTAAAAAGATAAAAACAGCGCCCCAGAGGATACAACTGTACCAATGTTTCCATATCTTGGATTGATTCAATGTGCATCTCTTTTGATAAACCATTTACTTTTTCAATAAAAAATAAAAATCTTGATTAGCAGAGCTTCAATACAAACAAAAGTGAAAACCATCACCTCAAACTTATCCATAATTCATGATCAATATCTCTCCAGATTTGAACATCAGAGGCTTCATGGAGAAAATATTATGTGAAATTACTGAGAATTAATCATGTATTGTGCCAAACACCCTGCAGAATATTGAAATATCGACACTTATATCGCAAAGTCGATATTTAAAGCAATGCAGGAAGAGCAGAGCGAGAGAGGGAGACAGAGAGAGAGTCTTCAAATAATCAGGTATGACGTTTGGCAATGACATCATAGTCTGGAGATCTGTTAGTGTGATCCAATGCCATGTAAGTGCTGTCCTCTTCTTTTGGCTTCATGCTCTCTCTTTGTTTCCTTTAGTAAAAGAAGAAATGAGGATTAAAAAAGGGTTTTACAAAGAACTCATTTGTCATATCTTCATCAGCACAGTTTATTCTAAAAAGTCCTCCGGTGTAAAACATACCAAAGAAACACCATGCAGAGTGTGAGGACGATGTTCACAGTGAGAGACACTCCAGTAACAGCCCAGAAGAGAACTCCACCGTAGGGTCCACAGTTATCCTCAAGACCTGTCATAAGAAATAACATGATAATATCATAACCCTGTTTAGTGTTGTGTTTATGTAATCAGCAACAAATAACTGGCATGTAATAAATAATTAAGACAGGACAATGTATTACAACCCCATCTCCTTTTGTTCTCACTGACCCCATATTTTTGCTTTAATATAATTGAAGTATTTAACTGGATGGCACTGATCTTCATTGAGAGGCAAAATTAATTTTAGTCAGTCTAAAGGCTGATTACAGTGTGTATCTAATAACATGTGCTTATTATTTGCTCATTAGATTTTATTTCAAAATTATTTCATTGTTAATTTAAACTAAAGTTGAGGAAAATTAAATTGACTATTGTGTCATTAATTTTAAGTTAAGTGTATTTATCTGTACATAAATTCTGATAGTTCTTCACTGATTAAAAAACTTGGGGAGGGGGGGGACACTTTTTCAACTTGATGGTTTTTACCACTAAAGTCTACTTCATTGTCAGTTTGACAGTGAAGGAAGTACCAAAGTTGTATCATATTTCCAATCAAGACCGCAAAGCGAGCAAGAGAGACGAGTGTAGGCTGAGCAACCAAAAGACTAAAAGAAGAGGAATGGTTTCAGCAGGAACAACGCTGAGCCAGAAGAAATTCAATATTCATTTCTGATTGTTTCATGGTGGTTATGTTCAAAAGCACAATTTAAACACACTAAACCACTGGCACATGAAGGAGTTGATTATGAAAGGGAAACTGAATGATTGATTGGCCCAAATTGGCACACATGGACATTTGGATGAAAAAGACAAATTAGTAATGTTTTATATACTAATCAGAAAGTGCCAAGATGGAAATCAATCTTGAAAACTGAAACATTAACAACATTTTATAATCAGTAAATCACTGCTCTGGAGGAATTATAGACCTTTAAAGGTTTAAAAACACACAGTTTAACTTGTATACATACGCTGAACATATAAGTCTTTGTTGTCAGATCGTCCACTCCCCAGTTCATTTTCAGCCTTGCAGAAAAAAGGACCGCTGACATCTGAAGCTTTAACAGTTAAAACACGTCCAGTCCCCATGAAAGTCTCCTGGCCTCCATCAGCTCTGTACCAGGTGTAGTCCTTTACAGCTGGGTTGGTACTGCTACTACAGGTCAGAGTCACAATGTTGTCTTGTCGTATTGGACCGGACAGACTGACCGACACTGTGGGTTTTTTGGGTGAATCTGGGAGGAAAAAAATAAACAGACTTGTTCTTTTGATAATTGAATTGTAAACTGTCACTTTCTTGCTGATTTGGAAGAAAAATCATGAAGAAAATTACTGACTCTGCTTCAGCAACATTTGAAGCCTTTGCTTTTCAGCATGTTTGCACTTACAAGAAAGGTTGCCATTAGTTTCATGTTTTCTGTACATTAAAGGGAATTATGTTAATCCTAAAATGCATCTTAATCAGAGTTAGATATATGGCATGCAGATGTAGATGTTCCCTTTTGTCTTTTCTTCTCAGTCTCTGCTTTAGCTTGATTTCAAAGCAGCTTGAAGTTTATGCAATTAACAAGAATTGTGCCTGCAAAGGATATTTTGGATGAGGAAACACTTCAGAGAAATGAAGCAGAGCAAGTTAAAGGCTTGCTGTTGAAGCTTTGTGAGCAAGAAAATACAGAAGCATCTCACACTGAGGTGTTTGATTTATTAAATTGATGTCATGTCAACACTGATTAGAAAATCTAAAGAATTGGGTAAAGATTTACTTTCAAGGACTTATTGTTTCACACCTAATTTAATTTAGTCAAGATTTTAAGGAGATGAGAGAGCATTTAAAAGTTTAAGTTTGAATTCCTTAATCACAAGACACGCATACATGTAATGTCAGCTGTTTAACTGGTGTTCACAGATGACTCAGTGCTGCCATCTTGTTTTCTGTAGACAGCAGTACAGGAGATTTCCTGTCTGTGATGGAGGTGTGATGCGTTGAAGTTCAGCACAGAGATCTTGACTTTAGTTTTGTCCTGATTCTCCTGCAGGGTCTCCTGACCTTCACCCAGGCCGGAGCTCCATGTCAGATTTGGAGGAAGAGACAGACAGGGAGCTGGAGCAGAGCAGTTCAAACTCACTGAGGTTCCCTCTTTCACCTTCAGTGTGGGCGGAGTCAGAGTCGGTCTGGGTGGATCATCTGTTCAGAAGATACATAAACATGTATAAGCAGTCATTTCTCTCTACTATCAAAGGTTTGATTTATCTTTATTTTAAAGTAATCAACGATAAGGTCAGAGAAGTACTACATGAATGAACTGTTAATTAGTTTAATTTGAAACCTACCTTTGACTGAAATTTTCACGCCATCAAAAAAGTATTTCAGATTATTGCCACATTCCAATCTAAAATTATGCACTTTGTTGTTTTGAGGTTGCATGTCATTCAGGGTTGTGGTGCAGTCTTTTTTTGTTAGGTCACCGATCAATTGTCCTTTCTGTTGTGGATTACTGCTATCAAACACAACAGGTCCCCTATAAGATTCTCTCCATAATGCTTTACAAGTGTTGTTTAAGTTGACATTATATTGATCCTCTACGTCAAAGGAGCAGGGGATTGTCACACAGGATCCCTTCAGAACCTCTATAGTCTTTGGTATAATGCTCTCAAACTGTCCACACAGGGCACCTGAAACACATGAAAGAACATTTAAATAAGAACATGTGTTAATCATTTGTGAATTTTTGGACTAGCTATGTGTAACGCTAAGTTTTTGAGGTATTATTTCAAATTACTTTTTGTTTTTTACAGTGGTGGGCTTAATGTGAGTGAATATCTCACCTGGGAGCAGACAGCCAACAAGAAGGAGAGTGAGAGCTACAGCCATCTTTGTGTTTCAGAATAGGCAGAAAGTCTGGAGAGTACACATGGGTACACATCAGTTTCATACTAAGTATATTTGAGTTATTTCATACTTCTGAAGTTGCTTATTGCAGCATCATGTTGTAGATGATAAAATGATTAGAAAAAAACAGGAAGCTTTGTGGTCTGTGAAGGCAAAAGTGACACATAATGCTACTTTTCATTAATGTATTTTCAGTCTATACTTAAAATGAACGCTATAATCTGTTTATAGGCAGCTCCTTTAATCACCAGCAATATACAAAAACACAACGACAGCTTTATTACGTCCAAGATCAAAGAGAAAATGCTTCTCCTTTTACAGTGTCTGTTTTTCCTTAACCTATGGTATTAGTTTATTGATCTAAATCCAAGTTGAGAAAAAGTACACATTTTTAGAATTATGTATCAAGTGCTGATTTTCATATTTTTCAAATCAAAATCATGTAAACTTACATTCTTGTCAGGTCCTCTGGAGCAGAGAGGTGAAGATGTTCAGAGGAGGGACGTTTCCTTCAAAGTGTGTGCTGCTTTTTCAAACAGCCTTCTTCAGTAAATTACACGAGGAAGTCACAGTAGTGAACATGCGTGTTACAATCATTTTACAGTCATTTCTATCATGGCTCATAACAGTGCCACAACTCTTCTCAATTACATGTATTCTTCTGTTCTCTTCTATTTTTCATCTTTGGAACTAAATTAACATGTTTGTAATACTCACCTATTAGTCTCCACCCGCCTGTTTTATGAGATTTAAAGAAATAACACATTGTTCAGGTGCAGGTTACTGTATTTGTACACCTAGCGAGCTATGAGAGAAATGACAAAACAGATGTAAGAAGATAAAACACATTCGAGAAGGATCAATCTATTTATAACCTACGGAAACATTATTTTAAAAAATGAATAAATTATAACAATGATAAAAGTCGCTTTGGATAAAAGTGTCTGCTATGTGAATTGTAGAATTGTAGAAAAGTGCTCAAGGTTCCACCAATGAATGAAAAAAACAATAAAATTAATCACAAAATTAAGCCAGGATATTTGCAAATATGGCTACAGCTTTTTCAGTTCAGTGATAGCAGCAGAAAGATAGTTATTTTTGTTCGGCTTTGTTCTGCCCCTTGGGACTGAAAAACCTCCGTCCAGAGGGAAGATGCTGAAAATCACGGTGCAAAGGGTGGGAGTCAATGTTTAAGACATACTGTAGGTAGCTATCTGCTCTAACGGTCTGGATTACAGGGACGCTTGGTAGAGCCGTGACTCACCAACCAGCTGATTAGACCATTTAACAATGTTTTTACTTTTAAATAAAGTACAATACTTCCTCCCATTAGTAAAATAGATGATTACTATTTGAACTCCACAGACAGACAGTGGTGACTGTGGCTCAGTTGGTATAGTTAGTTGTCTCTCAACCGGAATGTCGGGGGTTCGATACCCAGCACATGTATGATGTGTCCTGCTGCTTCGTCGGTGGAGTATGAATGTGTATGAATGGGATGAGTTACTTCTGATGGTCACTTTTCATAGCAGCCTCTGCCTTAACTGTGTGAATGTGTTGGTGTGACCTGTGGAGTAAAAGCTTTGAGGACTCTTCTCGATCGCACATGTTCTCTTCTATTTTTCATCTTTGGAACTAAATTAACATGTTTGTAATATTCACCTTTATTATGAATTTTTAAAACACATTAATTTCAATGTAGACCACAAACTTCCCCCATTGTCCTGATTCTCCTGCAGGGTCTCCTGACCTTCACCCAGGCCGGGGCTCCATGTCAGATTTGGAGGAAGAGACAGACAGGGAGCTGGAGCAGAGCAGTTCAAACTCACTGAGGTTCCCTCTTTCACCTTCAGTGTGGGCGGAGTCAGAGTCGGTCTGGGTGGATCATCTGTTCAGAAGATACATAAACATGTATAAGCAGTCATTTCTCTCTACTATCAAAGGTTTGATTTATCTTTATTTTAAAGTAATCAATAATAAGGTCAGAGAAGTACTACATGAATGAACTGTAAATACATTTAATTTGAAACCTACCTTTGACTGAAATTTTCCATTCTTGTTTGTAAAAATTATATTTCAGAATATTGTCACATTCCAATCTAAACAAATACTCTTTGTTGTTTTGAGGTTGCATGTCATTCAGGGTTGTGGTGCAGTCTTTTTTTGTTAGGTCACCGATCAATTGTCCTTTCTGTTGTGGATTACTGCTATCAAACACAACAGGTCCATTAGTACTTTCTTTCCATAATGCTTTACAAGTGTTATCTAAGTTTACATTATATTGATCATCTACGTCAAAGGAGCAGGGGATTGTCACACAGGATCCCTTCAGAACCTCTATAGTCTTTGGTATAATGATCTCAAACTGTCCACACAGGTCACCTGAAACACAAGAAACAAATCCTTATTACAATTATACGTTTAAAATACATATTCATATGTATATGTATAGTTTTCATATTGAGTTTATAATGACTATATTACTAAAATCATTGACAGGGATAGAGGTTTCAAATGAGCCGTGGCTAGAAACCTGACTGCATGTTATCTACTTTGTATTTACATGAAGCAATGTTCATTGCACGTGTCTCTGTTAAATAAACAAACAAATAAATAAATAAAGTCATGATACAATTTATTGTTGGCTCTGTTTCTAAAAACCTTAGGAGTCACAGATAAAATAATCTTCATGTAAAACTCAGAGGATTCATCATTTTCACAGTTATTTTTTACATTAAAGTTGTAAATTTAACACCAAATCTCTACATTATGATATCTTTAAAAGAAAGCAGAACACATTAGTCGCTAATTTCTTTGACAAATATAAGTCAGCATCTCACCTTGCAGCAGACAGCCAATGAGGAGGAGAGTCAGAGCTGCAGCCATCTTTGTGTTTCAGAAGAGGCAGAAAGTCTGGAGAGAATACATGTAGATTTACAGTTTAGTGTATTTCGCTCCAAATAAACTTAGATTTCATTTTGAGGCTGTTGTTGAATGTGATCTTTGCAGAAGTTGCAGATGGAGAAATATGCTGAAATATTTGAATCTTCATCAATGTGGAAAAGGTTGGATCCAGAGTTTAGTTAACTAAATTGATCCCAACAAAACTAAAAGACTTCAAGGTGTGCAGCTTCTCATTTTAAGGTTTAAATTGAAATCTTTCTGCAGTTCAATCAATTCATGTGAAGATGCTCATTATTAAAATGTAGAAGATGAAATGATAATAATATAAAAAACAGGAAGTTTGACTGCCTGCCTCAAAGAAAAGAGACAAATGTTGTGTTTTTTATTTTGTTTCTTTCTTTGTTTACAACCTCTTTAAGGAAACTATTTGATCAGTAATAACGCCCAGAAGAAAAACTGCATGAGAGCTTTAAAATGTTCAAAACTTGATCAGAGTGAATGTTTTTTTCTTTCCCCTGTAACAAAGTTTGTTTGATCAACTTCAGAAAAATGCACTTATTAAAAAGTAACCTTTATGATATTAAACATGTTGATTTGTTATATCTCCTGAAAAAGTATAAAGTTGTTTAAAAGTGATATAAAAGTTTTATACACTTACGTTTTTGTCAGGTCTTTTTGAGCAGAGAGGTGAAGGATGTTTAGAGAAGTGAAGTTCCTCATTATTTGGCCGCCTTCATAAAGAGCATTCAAAATTTGTCTTGAAAATGAGGAAGTCAAAAAAAGGTGAACATTCATGTTCACATTCATGTTCAGTACATTTCATGTGAATAGTTTTCATACAGGATCACATCTTTACTTACCTTTCATTTACTATTGATAACAAACATCTCTCTGTACAAATTATTTGTATCTTTAGACCTTAAAAAAACATTGTCATCATGGGGATGTCAGCATTCGATTAAAATGCAAAAACACATGAAAAGCCTGTACTTCCTTATCATGAAGCAATGAAATAAGCAGGCTACTCTATAGAATACATTTCTAATAACACAATTATTAATATCTTATCAATTACCATAAAAACCTGATGTATAAGAGGCACACCCTTTTTTTAGATCCAAAAAGTTGGCTGCATCTATACACTGGTGCAACCAATATACCAGTATAAAATGCTGACACACGCAGTGTCATTACTGACGATTACAAATACATCCCCATTCTTTCTGTATCCAGATGTGATTACATGCTGTGCTGGGTGAGAAGGTGACACAAACCACAGCTTTTCTCCCTCACGAGGTCATAATCCTGCATGCACAGAAAACAGTCATATATTGTTTCATAAATAAACCTTGTTGAGTGCTCTTTTGATTGAAATAATTATATATTAAAGTCAAAAAGTGACCAGCGGAGTCGTGCAGAGAGCTTGCAAGCTAGGAGTCTGTGCCTCACAACTTTCACTGCAGCCTTAGAGCTCAACTACCGTACTGTAACTAGTAGGAGTGCAAACTCCAAAAAGTGAAAACAGACTGAACTAAAAGAGCGACACAGCTGAACACAAACTGCACGTTGTAGACTTCACTGAACACAATAGAAATGATCAGGCCGGAAAACTTTTTTTCTCTCTCAGAGACCTTCAAAAACATGCCACTTATATTCTGGATTTTATAGTATGACAAAAAGTACTCATTCATTCATTCTTACTCAAAGTCAGCAATTTTTTTCACTTTTTGAGTTCACTTTTTCACTTGCTGTATTTGTTGCTTTTGAGCTTTTAGAGATGAAATGATCTGGGAAATACATCAGCTCCTGAAGCTAATTTCAAACATGCCAATTGTAGTGATCGATAGAACTCAACAGTGATCCCCCACTTTTATGGTGGCTCTGGTTCTGAAAGTAAATTTCTCCCTTCAAATCGTCGATTGACATTTGAGAAATTCCTTTTGTCAAAAATGTTTTAGTCCTGGAACCAAACCAACTGTTGTTCCACTGTAGGAGGATATCTGTCATACACCACAGGATAATACATCTTATTGTATTGATACCAGGTGACCTGGACATGAGCTTTTGTCTGACATGGTACCACAGCACAGCTCCCCTCCACTGCAGTCACTGTTTTAGGTACAGTGATGTTCCAGCTTCTCACCTGCTGCAGCACAGAGAAGCCTTTGTGTGGGGGAGAGGAGGAAGAGGAAGGAAGGGTGAATGTGTTAGCAAAGTTGGCAACAAATGTTAGTGGTTCAGTGAAGAAAAGCTGATGAGAAAGAAAAGTATGTGTCATGCAACAGGAAATGAACAACAGTGAAAGCTGCTTTTGAAAGCAGAGTTTACTGTACAGCCATTTGTCATACAAAGTAACATTATGAGAGCTGTCACTCACACTCGTTTCTTTGGTGAGGTTATGTTTCAGAATAAAAACATCTAAAAAAACTCTTATTATTCGGGACAGTGACCAATTCGAAGTCTGTCTAGCAAGCCAGTCTTTCTGTTAAACATACTGTCTGATCATATTAACCGTTTGGTAGCCATAGGTAAAGATGTTGAGAGAAATGTGTGCTAGCTGAAGATAACTTCATACAGCTTTCTGGTTCATTGTTATCTCAGGCAACATTAAAGTGACAGCACATGTGACAGTGTCAACACATGTAATAAGGTAGGCCAGAGGGAATATAAACTTAATGAGAATCAGCAGGAGCAAAACATCAGGTTCATATATTGATATGTTACATATTTTATGATAGAAGATATTTGACAATATTGTCATACTTGATGACTGCATTATGTTCCCTCAGACTCTGCTCTGAGAGCTACTTGCATATTGACTGCCCTTCACATCACCCCTTAGTAGAACATGGTAAGCCCTGTTCTGCAAATTCATCCCATTTATAAAAAGGGACTGAAGGTTGGGAACACAGGTTTTTCATGTTTCACTGAAGCTTTATCAAAAAGTTAAAACAGAACATAGAAATTGACAAGCAATTGTGTTTTTCTTATTGTTTGCACTGCTTCTTTAGTAGGTCTGAATGCTGAAATCTTCTGTAAATAGCTGGTGGCTGTGTGTGACAACAATCAGTAGCTTCACTAGGTAACGTTACAGCCTGCTGTAGTCTGTTGCTGTAAACTGAGCCAAACTATGATAGCGAGTAGGCCTGCGTGACATGACTAAAAGTGTTATCATGATAAAAAATGTCATATCAGTCGATATCGATAATTGTCATTCATTATTTCTTTCAAATTTAAAGGCTGATTTCGGCTCCTGAGTTAAAGTTGAAAAAACAAGGTGGTTAATTATGGTTTAATTATTCAGAACATGAGAAACTATAATTAAATATTTCACCATTATAAGCACAGTGCACGTAACGCTCAAGGAACATTAGCGCTCCCCACTTCCCAGTGGTTGGTGGTGTAATCACACGATTAAATCTGTCAAACTTTTATTGAACATTTTTCATATTTATTGACGAAAATTATATTGCAATAATTATCATTTCGTTTTATCGCCCAGTCCGGACTGAACTGTAATCTATGTCTGCATCTCAATCTAGTCTCTAAATTTAACCTGGGCATATTCACATTCAGAGTCCTTCTTCACATTTCTAGGCTTCACTTCATTGTATAGATTTACACTCTCTACTGCATTGCTCGCAACATTTCTGCCCAATTCTCCATCAGGAGCGACCTGACTGATTTGTGTCCCCAGAGCTTCCTCCCTCCTTCTTCCCTTTGCTCCTCCAAGTCACACTAGTATAAATCACATCTTTGCTTTCCTCGTTTTTCTTCTCTGAACTTGTACTGGCATCTTCTGTGTCGTTTCGGATTGAGCTTGGTAAGTTGGTGCTGATTGGCTCAGAGGTAGTTGCAGGTTGGGTGACACCTGGTTTCTTCAGCTCAGTGGTGTTAGCATAAATGCCCTCATTTGTTTTGTTGAGTTCCTACAAATCAAAAGGAAATGTCGGTTGTAAGTTTATTCTGCTTATTTAAGTGACACTAAGTAGAAAACTGCTGGATTCCAAGGTAAAGTACCTCATCTCCTTTTCCACTTGGTAGATGTTGGCTCATAGCAACTGTGCTGGCGTTACCTGACCCCTGACTCTGAAGCAGGTTGTGTTGAGTCCTCTGAGCCCTGAAAAAACCAGCAGAGTATAAACCTACAAGAATATACTGAAAATATCTTTGTTTTTCCCTAGTCTAAAGTTGAGAAAAAACTCAGGGAACAGTCCATATTTAGTTATTTTAACACTGGTAACAGATCACAGGATCACAGCGTCTGCAGTCGATGTCAACATGTTGTGCCGAGTGTGGCTAGCATTAGCAGTACTAGCACTGCCAGCCTTTGGTCCTCCTTGCAGGTTTACTTCCACATGTCTGTGCTTTTTACGCATTGCTCTGGTCAAGATACACCACTTTAACACGAGACAGCCTACATCCAACTTTTACTCCATTTTCTAGATCAAAATACAGTCAAACCTCTTTGCGCTATGACATGCCACTTGTCTACTATGCTGGTTTACATCTAGGTAGTAGAGCATTAGTGCCTGTCTATAGCTTTGGCTGGTGGGCGGGCAGCATTTCAGCATCAACATTCTTATGTGTACATGTGCAACGGTCACAGTACAGGACATACTCTGTCAAGAAGGGGAAATATTCATGATTACTTCATGCCATAACTTTTTTGTTGCAACATACTGGAGCAAAACTCGCAGGTTTTCCATTCGGACTTCGCTACAGCTGCCTGCAAACATGGGGCTTATTGAGAAGCTGCAAACTGTATCACAGCACACCAATCAGTAAAGAACAGTAAAACACCACATAATGAACCACCTGTGGGCATCCTCTCTTCAGAGTAAGGTTATCAACACTTTTTTTCATAATTTGATACTTTCGACCTCTTTTAAAGCAATACTCTTCCAAATCTCCTTTATTCTAATGATCGATAGTACCCAAAAGTACCCAAAACTTTAAATAACTACATATCTTCAGTCATACTTAATCCCAAAGTTGCTTTGAGCAAAAAAGAGAGTAAGAGATCAGCGGTACATCTGAAATTCACGTCAGCAAATACTGATGTTTCTCCAGTCCTTTAGGTGTCTCATAAAGCTGCATATTCATGTTTATTTCTCACAAACAGACGCAGAGCAGAGGACACTATAAATAACAAAAAAATATTGGCAACATTTTCAATCCACAACATTTGACTGAAACTGTGGGCCTCATTTGAAAAATATTAATTACCTGGATAAGACTTGGTCTGCTCATAATACCAAAAAATATTAAACATTTCAAAGATTTTAAATTGAAGACCAGAGGAACACCATATAGAATCAGTATCTTCATTCAATTGAAGAATATAAAAGTCCAAGTTGGAGGTTTTTAAACATTTTGCATAGTGGTATTCTGTACCTGGTTTGGTTTGATTTGCTGTTACCCTACCTGATAACAAAGAGTAGAGCACATACTAGCACCAGGAAGACGACAATGGTGGCAATGAAGACTGGCAAAATCACTGAAAAATACAAAGGACAATAAGGGATTATGGTTCAAGCTCTTATTCAGACGAGATTATTATTTGAATAAATTCGGACATAACGTATTAATTATTCATTTTTGTAAATTGTTAAATCAGGACATATTAAAGCTTTCAAGAGGAATTTATCTTCACCACTTACCCATTCATAAAGCTTTCTTGTTAATACTTAGTAATTATGAGAACAAATTGTGAAATGTGCCGCTTACCAATAAAAGTTATACTCAGTTCAGAGACAAACCTTGACTTTCTGCAGATGTTGGAAGGCTGTAGAAAATAAATCGCTGAGCAACAGATCCCAGAGAGTTTGAGCTGCGACAAAGCACAGTGAAGTGATCCTTCCTTTGGGCTTGACTCATGGTGATGAAGCTCACGCCTGTACCATTTCGATGCTCATAACTGATTGCAAACTCTTCTGAGTGATTGACAGCTAACCCATCCAAACTCCATTGTAAAGTGGGAGGAGGATTTCCCGTAGACTCACAGGAACAGTTGACCTGGTTAGCAGTTTTGGTGCAATCAGATGAGGACATGATCTGTGGAGCATCTGTAATGGATGTAGGGAAGAGAGACAAGTAGAGAGTCAAGTAAAGCCATGCTGTATCAAATTTGCAAAAGTAAAAGATAAGGCTTATGGCTATGAAAAAAATAAAAATAAAAGTTGACCAGCTGTGCGTGTGAATGAAGTGAATGAGGCAAAGAAAAATTCTAGTTCCTCCATGTCAATTAGTTTTCATTCTGGGCCTGTGTCCACAGAGGGCGCTTTTAACGCTGGCAGCGCCTATTTTCAATACAAAACCAATGTAGTTCAGTGTTTTCAGCACTGACTGAGCGTCATATGTTTCTTGAGGCCGCATTCACTCAGCTCTCAGTTGAAAACAATTCCACTTATGGAACAGCACTACGCTCTTCTATGTCACATCTCCATCACCAACCTATGGCGTTTTATCCCAGCCAATAAAATTGCGCGCGCACATGAGATCTATGCAACTCAAACAGCCACACGCATATTATTTTTGTGAGCACTTGCACAGCATTCTCACGCAGAATTTATCTTCTCGCACGAGCAATATTGTATCCTGTAAGGAGAAAACCATGCTTTGAGCACGAGCAAAATCTCACCCTGAGCGTGTAACTACAGTGCTCTCTCAGATTTTTCTTTTTGCGCTCAAAGCATGGTTTTGTCCTCTCAGGATACAATATTGCTCACGCAAGCAATTTCATTTGAATGATTGTAATTTTACTTGATATGCACATTCTTACTAAGCAGACCTTTTTGGGGGTAAAGTTAACATTTGCTCGTCTCTAATTTAATTATAGAACCTCATATATAACACAGTGTTTCCCCTACCATTCAGGTCGTTCAGGGTGGATTACCCAAAGTGATCTCCCACCACCCTAAAAGAAAGGCACTAAATACTTTATCTATGTAAATTATCCATCCATCCATTATCTATAACGCTTTTCTCCCTTTATTTACAACAAAGTTAATCCTCTACAAAAGAAAGTTTTACTGGATTTGAAGTTTCCAATCAAAGGAAATTAAAGATAAACAAAGAGATTTTCATACATTTTGAAAAATGTAACTGATGAATGACACCTACAATGTACATCTATTTGTCTTGTGTTTGATTGAAAACTTCCCAGTTCATTTTCAGCCTTGCAGAAAAACGAGCCTCTCTTTCGAGAAGCTTTGATGTTTAAAACACTTGCACTGGACCAGAGGGACTGACTGACACTGTGGTCCTTTTGGGTGAATCTGAAAAATTATAACAGGGATTAAAGTTCTCAGTCGCTACAACGTATTTCCGTCAATTTCACTATTGTAATAATTTTAGTCGGTGTCAATCGGACAAATAAAAGTCGAGCAACATGGGTTAATGACATAGCCCTACCCTTGTGTGCAAACTGCGGTTTTTAATGTCAGGCATTTATCTGAATCCTGTAACACAATTGTAGTTTTGTGTTTGTGTGACATTTTGAATATAAAGTCAAAACTTTGGTCTGCATTTACAAACTGTTTGTCATTTGTGAACCTCACTGCATTCTTAATTTGTTTTTGAAATGGGAGATTAAAGTCCAGTGTTACATTCATTTATAATCAGATACAACTGTGACCTTTAACCCTGTGATGAAAACACTGAGTGTGAAATGATCTGTTGACCTCTTTGTGAAAAACATGCAGCTTGTTTTCTTTATGTTTAAGTATTGACAGGAGTTATTAAACCACTTTGTGACATTAGTCATCACTGCTGTTAGTTTACGTGCAGCTTGCTGGTTTGTTGTTGCATGTTCAAAAATGATAGTATCATCAGCGTACATTAGGATGTCTGACCTAATAGCATTCATTTATTAGATCATTTATGTAGAGGCTAAACAACAAACCCTGTTCATACAATGAATACATCTACAATCAAACATCTGAGTGGAGAGAAAAAAAGGTAATCACACATGGCAGTATGCACACCCCAGGTGACGGCCATGCTCGTAACTGTTTGCTAAATGATTACAAAACAACAAACAAAGAAGAAGAAGCATGTATTTTATGTAATCAATTTAATCACAAGACACACATACTCACATGTAATGTCAGCTGTTAAACTGGTGTTCACAGATGACTCAGTGCTGCCATCTTGTTTTCTGTAGACAGCAGTACAGGAGATTTCCTGTCTGTGATGGAGGTGTGATGCGTTGAAGTTCAGCACAGAGATCTTGACTTTAGTTTTGTCCTGATTCTCCTGCAGGGTCTCCTGACCTTCACCCAGGCCGGGGCTCCATGTCAGATTTGGAGGAAGAGACAGACAGGGAGCTGGAGCAGAGCAGTTCAAACTCACTGAGGTTCCCTCTTTCACCTTCAGTGTGGGCGGAGTCAGAGTCGGTCTGGGTGGATCATCTGTTCAGAAGATACATAAACATGTTTAAGCAGTCATTTCTCTCTACTATCAAAGGTTTGATTTATCTTTATTTTAAAGTACAGTAATCAATGATAAGGTCAGAGAAGTACTACATGAATGAACTGTTAAAACATTGAATTTGAAACCTACCTTTGATTACAATTGTCACGCTATCAAAATTGTATTTCAGACTATTGTCACATTCCAATCTAAAAAAATACTCTTTGTTGTTTTGCATGTCATTCAGGGTTGTGGTGCAGTCTTTTTTTGTTAGGTCACCGATCAATTGTCCTTTCTGTTGTGGATTACTGCTATCAAACACAACAGGTCCATTAGTACTTTCTTTCCATAATGCTTTACAAGTGTTATCTAAGTTTACATTATATTGATCATCTACGTCAAAGGAGCAGGGGATTGTCACACAGGATCCATTCAGAACCTCTATAGTCTTTGATATAATGATCTCAAACTGTCCACACAGGGCACCTGAAACACAAGAAACAAATCCTTATTACAATTATACATTTACAATACAATCCTTATTCATATTGAGTTTATAATGTCTATATTACTAAAATCATTGACAGGGATAGAGGTTTCAAATGAGCCGTGGCTAGAAACCTGACTGCATGTTATCTACTTTGTATTCATGTGAAGCAATGTTCATCGCACGTGTCTCTGTTAAATAAACAAACAAATAAATAAATAAAGTCATGATACAATTTATTGTTGGCTCTGTTTCTAAAAACCTGAGGAGTCACAGATAAAATAGTCTTCATATGAAACTCAGGATTCATCATTTTCACAGTTATTTTTTACATTAAAGTTGTAAATTTAACACCAAATCTCTACATTATGATATCTTTAAAAGAAAGCAGAACATATTAGTCGCTAATTTCTTTGACAAACATAAGTGAGCATCTCACCTTGCAGCAGACAGCCAATGAGGAGGAGAGTCAGAGCTGCAGCCATCTTTGTGTTTCAGAAGAGGCAGAAAGTCTGGAGAGAATACATGTAGATTTACAGTTTAGTGTATTTCGCTCCAAGTAAACTTAGACTTCATTTTGAGGCTGTTGTTGAATGTGATCTTTGCAGAAGTTGCAGATGGAGAAATATCTTGAAATGTTTAAATCTTCATCAATGTGGAAAAGGTTGGATCCAGAGTTTAGTTAACTAAATTGATCCCAACAAAACTAAAAGACTTCAAGGTGTGCAGCTTCTAATTTTAAGGTTTAAATTGAAATCTTTCTGCATTTCATTCAATTCATGTAAAGTAGCTCATTATCAAAACGTAAAAGATCAAATGATAATAAAATAAAAAAACAGGAAGTTTGACTGCCTGCCTCAAAGAAAAGAGACAAATACTTTGTGTTTTTTCTTCAGTTCATTTTGTTTACAACCTCTTTAAGGAATCTATTTGATCAGTAATAATGCCCAGAAGAAAAACTGCATGAGAGCTTTAAAATGTTCAAAACTTGATCAGAGTGAATGTTTTTTTTTTCTTTCCCTTGTAACAAAGTTTGTTTGATCAACTTCAGAAAAAATGCACTTCTTAAAAAGTAACTTTTATGATATTAAACATGTTGATTTGTTATATCTCCTGAAAAAGTATAAAGTTATTTAAAAGTGATATAAAAGTTTTTTAAACTTACGTTTTTGTCAGGTCTTTTTGAGCAGAGAGGTGAAGGATGTTTAGAGAAGTGAAGTTCCTCATCATTTGGCCGCCTTCATAAACAGCATTCAAAATTTGACTTGTAAATGAGGAAGTCAAAAAAAATGCATGTTTTACATTGGATGTTCAGTTCTTTATGTAAATAGTTTTCATACAGGGTCACATCCTTCGTCACATTTTATTTACTATTGATAACAAACATCTCTCTGTGCAAATTATTTCTATCTTTAGACCTTGAATAAAACATTGACATTTTGGGGATGTCAGCATTTGATTAAAATGCAAAAACCAATGAAAAGCCTGTACTGTCAAAAGAATGTTTATAATTCATTTTAATGCAATAACATCTTGATGTGTTTCAATATTTACAACCCATCAGTTTGACTAGAATGTTACTTTTTGAGATCCACATACAGAAGGTGAGAACTTATAAAAAAACATTGTTGTCAAAGCTTCTGCCTAATCATGAAGCAATGAAATAAGCAGGCTACTCTATAAATTACTTTTTAATCAGAACACAATTATCAATCAATTATCAGTTATGACAAAAAGTACTTTCATTCTCACTCAAAGTCAGCCAACTCATTTCTTTCCAGGTGAAACTGAATGATATCCAGCTATTTGATTCTTTCAGGATAGTCTACTATGTAAGATAAAATCCAGGAGCTTGGTTTCGTGCATCATGATATTTGTCTGACACTCAGAACTAATTATGTTTTATCCCTTTAAGCCAAACCCTCAGTCTATATTATGTTAAATTGAGCAAAATGGACTGCAACCAAACTGGACAGACACAGATTGCAACGGATAATCAGGACTGCAGAAAAAATATCATTGGTGTCAACCTGCCCCCTATCAGGAAACGAGCAGGTAGAATTACTACAAACTCTTCCCCTCTGATACGGATCACTGTACACCAAAACAACAACAGTTTGTTCCCCCAGGCTGTCATTCTGATGAATGCTAAACAGTCACACGTGCCTAAAACTTACATTTTATTTTAATATCTTTTGTTTTTTCTGTGGTTGTCCGGTGATGGAAATGTGGCGAGAGTTGGTGGTGGTAATAACTAATGATGTAAAATAAGAACAGACAGCACACCCCAGGAAATACACAACTTATTACTCTTGTAAATAGGTAAGACACACAGACTCGAAAACTGATGAGGCAGAGACGTGGTTTCAAAAGAATTTAAGGAATTTACCTGAATTAATCAATGTAAAAAACAAGGTGGACCAAAGCTTTGGGGAAGGAAGAATGGTTAAACAATAAGCACAGAGCTCAGATTTTTTTGTTAGCTCTTGTTCAAGTACCACAGATAAAAAAAGACCAACATGTCACTTCTTTTTACTGTCCTGAAAGTGAAATCATTAAATCTAACAGCTCTGCAGGGTTCACAGGTCAATCTGAGTCGTACATGAGAACCATTCGTTCACAGTTGTGTCTAAACTTCCCGGCCTTTATTATTTTTATTCCCCTTTAATCCACTCCAGTGTAGTTGTTGGCATAATGCAACGCTGGTTTTGCTAATGAAGAAGTAATAGAAGTAGGAAAAGTAGAAACAAAAGAAGAAATCAACAGCTCCTTCGATCAGTTTACAATGAGAAACAGCCAGGACCAAGTCCTACAAGACAAACTCAGCTTCACCCGGTGAAGCCTGTTAGCTTCTCAAGCTTTATACTGTAATGTTTACTCCCTCTGTCTAAAAAAATAATGATGCAAGAGATGGAGTCATAAGAAGCAGCTCCTTTCAAAGAGCTGTAATAAAGATTTGTCTCACGCCTCTCCATGGGGAATTCTGCTATCCTATTGGTGCACACCAATTAACTGTTGTATTGTTATCCATGTTTAAGACACGCCCCTTTGTTATTCAAGTTCCTCCCCACGTTTTGTCCAGACAGCCTCCTGATTTACTCAGAAATACATCCTGGTATGGACACAATCTTTAGATTTTAAAAGCTCTTCTTCACAGGGTGGACACGTTGGTTGCAGCACCATAAATGCTTTTTATTAAACATTTTGCGACAGTTCTTAACTGGGTCCAAAAACAAAGGGAGTTTGATGTTGATTTTTCAATCACTGTGGTGTCAGATTACCTGCACATTGTTTGTTATTGGACGTCTGCCTTCTGAGTCGATGAAAGCCTGAGTGGGAAAGGTCAACCTGACTCTGAGGGTGTCAGAGGTCGGCTCCTCAGGAACCCTGCTGCTGCAGCAATGTGTGCGTAAGGGGTCTCTACAGTGCTTTCAGTGCCTTAACTCACTGAAGATAATTTCAAGTAGTAGAACCAATCAGTTGGGCTTTTTAGTATGTTTCTATCACACAATCAATGAAACAGATTGTGTGTTCAACTGTCTGTGCACGGCTCCTCTCCTGGTACCTGGCTGTACATTTAATCAACAGCTGTCCATCCACAATACAACTAATCAAATAAGAAGTATTCATTTTCTGATTTCGGTAGATTTTTCCTATTAGTGCAAATGAAAAAGTATGAAAACTGTGTGAAGTGTCAGTGTGGCTCGTCAATGCTCTGTGTGAAGTGCTCTCCAGTGTACAGGCCGTAGTGCAGCGTGTCTTTCTGGGCTGCAGCCCACGCCATCTGCCGGCTGGAGAAGCGAGCGGCCCAGTTACCCCGAGGGTCCACCGTCACCACACCACCAAGACCATCCACTCTGGACTTCATGTAGGCCAGGGCAGAGTCACTGGCTGCCTCTGCTGACTGACCTAAAGAACAGAGGAGAGAGGAACGCTAACTGAACAACTCCAGTTAACCTCTGCATTCATTTCTGGTGTTTATTATTAACATCTACATGCTGAGAGAGCGAGAGAGTGTGTGTGTGTGTGTGTGTGTGTGTGTGTGTGTGTGTGTGTGTGTGTGTGTGTGTGTGTGTGTGTGTGTGTGTGTGTGTGTGTGTGTGTGTGTGTGTGTTACCTTGCTCCATGTAGAACAGGATGAGTCTGGCTAAAACAACTTTCATGATAGCTTCTCCGTGGCCTGTAGTGGACACTGCTCCTGAGTTGTTGTCAGCATAACCTCCACAACCTGATACACACAACAACAAATACACACACACACGCACACATGTGGGTCGGTGCACGTCAAATCTGGGAGTCAGTCGTTGAGGCAGTCGAGCTAAATGCATCAACATCCTTGGAATCTGCAACCAGGTCTTTCACTTCAGATTTAAAAACATTGAAGGATCCCAGCTCCTTGAGGTTTAAGTCATAACATTATAAAACACTTCAGAAACCAGACAGACATGGACTTTTCCTGCTCGAATGGCTTTCCTAAGATCTCAAAAAAAGATTAACCCTGTAAGTAAAAGATTTAAGAGAACGAGCGTAAGATCTGAGCTGAGTCCAGATCCATAAACTAAAGCTCTCCACGTGAGACTTCAGGGTGAAGAAATGTAAATATACTTAAGAACTGATGGAAATCAGACAAGTGTAAAACTGCACTGATGGGCTAGTTCTTCTCCTTAAGCATGTTGCTATAGCAGTATTTTTTTCTCGAAATGATCAGAATCGTTTTGTACTTTTTATCTTGTGGCCTTTCTGTTAATGTCAGACGTCGGAGGCGGTATCCACTCATGACAGCCGAGTCATTCATTGACTGATAGTGACAGATTAGAATCCAAACTCCACTCACTTCACTAAACCTTTAGAGTGAATCAACCCTGAGATGATTCAGCTAGTGCCACACCAAATGTAGACTTATTATTTTAAACAACACTCCGGACGCTGAAACATTACTCAGGCAACATTAGGGTTATTAGAATGAGCCACTCGAGCTGTGACTCTGACACAATGAGCAGGAATTAGTGAGTACATGGTAAATGGACTTTTAGGCATCATGCTCAACGGACTGGAGGACCGTTAAAAACAAAGAACAATGAGTCAACCTTTTTCAGGTTAAGTGTCTTTAGTATGTCTTTCTTCAACAAATATCTTTATGATGAGGCATATCATTCCACGCTGTATGTTTGAGGACTGACCTATGCAGGGTGTGTCCCCCACCCGACCCTCCATCTTGTTCAGCATCCCACCAGTGGAGGTCGCACAGGCTACAACTCCCTCACTATCCACGGCCACGGCCCCGACTGTGCCCATCTTCCCCCTACACGTTGAAATAAAAACAGAAAAAAATTATGTGAAATGTGTATGGATGGGATTCGTTAATACTGACGGACACTTTGCGTAGCAGCCTCTGTCATCACTGTGTGAATGTGGTGTGACAGGAAGTGTCAAAGCAGCTTTGAGTGGTCTAGAACGCTGGTTCTCAACTGGTCTATCCTCAAGACCCACAACCTACAGTACAACAAATTTAGGATATTTTTCAACCAATCAGATTTATTTACTGAAAAAATGTTGCAGTTCGAACGGCAGAGGATGCAAAACATGTCACAAGGGTAAAAATAATAAACATGTTTTTAAAGCATTTCATTGACTTTTTCATACAATTTATTCTCATGGCATACATTCACGACCCACTTTGGGTCCCGACCCCACCAGTTGAGGACCACTGCATGTGAAAAGCACTGTCCAAGTATATCTACCATTTACTGTGATCCTGTCAGTAGCAACAAGATTAAAAACAAATTTAAGCAGACATGTACTTGGGCAAGACACTTAACCCCAAGTTGCTCCCGCTGCTTCGTCGGTGGCGTATGAATGATTTAGATAGCAGCCTCTATCAGTGTGTGAATGGGTGTGAGTGTGTAGGTGTGACATGCGGTGTAAAAACGCTATGAGTAGTCAGAAGACTAGGTGGGTGAATCGAAACTTGCTTTGAGTAGATATTGATAGTGGGTCGTTGTCAGGCTTTGTTTGGACTGAGCACTTAAGTTTCATTCTCTGAGCATCAACAGGAGAGGCAGTTGACGCGTATCACACCCTCTGTTGATTGCAAGCTGAAAATCTGGGGCGGGATTTTCACGAAAATCCAAGCTTAAAAGAGTCTGAATCCGAAACTGCCAGCAGAACAAGCTCTGATCTGACGCTTCAGCGTGGCCACAGAGCCCGGGCATCCACGACTACTGCTTTGCCTATTTTCTCTGGTCATCTGCTAAACGCAACATGTGCTACAAAGAAATCTCTGTCATTCATGGGAACAGGAAAAGACACATCTGTCATAGACAACGCAATCTTAACAACTTGTCTCTGCTTAAGAAAGCCTCTTCTACCCACCCTTCATTTACTTTTGGTCTCTGGAACTGTCAATCTGCTGTGAATAAAACTGAATTCATCCAAGCACTTGCAAAAATGTCAGACATTCAGGCACTTGCCCTTACTGACACCTGGATCCGCCCAGAAAATACAGTCACACCAGCTGCTCTTTCTGTTGACACAGTGTTCTCACACACACCCCGCTCTGTTGGACGTGGAGGTGATACAGGTATCCTCATTTCTAATACCTGGAACTTGAATAAACTCTTCCCACTGAGCAACAACTCCTCAATTGAATATCACACAATCTTGGTTACTGCTCCTATTAAAATGTACATTGCTATCATTTACCGCCCACCAGGGTGTAATCTGAATGATTTTGTTGTGGAACTGGACATGCTACTCTCAGAAATCTACTCTCAGAAATCCCTGATGACCCGCTCGCAAAACCCACCCTAGCCCATGGCTCACGGAAGTCATAAGAGAGCCAGGGTCCTAAGTCTCTGACTAGACTCTTCTCCTCTGTCGCCCCCTGGTGGTGGAATGAACTTCCAAACTCCATTCGATCTGCAGAGTCCCTCTGCACCTTTAAGAAAAAGCTAAAGACCCAGCTCTTCATGAATACCTACTAACTTAATGATGATGGTCTCCATATTATTGATGATGATGATGGTTGTCACGATTGTTTATGTTTGATAATGACGACTTATAAGATGGTTTCTATACTGATTAGAGCTCTCAAGAACTGCCGTCAATGTTGTGCTTTGCCTCTGTGCAATGCCTGTCAGCACCTGTGTGTCCAATCGGACTCAAAGCTGATCGTTTACACTTACTGACATTGTTCCCTTTTTTCTAGATCCTTGCTTGTGTTGTACTTACTCTCTGATGTACGTCGCTTTGGATAAAAGCGCCTGCTAAGTGAATTGTAGAATTATAGAATTGTAGAAAAAAAACTGGGTTTCATTTACAGTAACATTACAGCTTGTTTTAAGGCTGCTCAAAGTGATCATCTGAAGATATATCTAAACTTTTGCACCTATAACTAATTAATTCCCTTAAAGCATGTCCAAACTCAACAGAATCCCTCTTTAAGGAACACTCCAGCAAAGAGCTTGTTCCTTTAGGAAACGCACAGCTGCAGTCAGCTGGGACTCACAGCAGTAATCATGAATTCCAACGATGACCCAGAGTCAGAGCATAAAAACCTGTGCAAACATCCATACAACCCTCTCCAGTAACTACTGCTGCATAACCCCTGCTATGGTTGATTCTTGTGCTCAGTATGTTCCAGAAAGTCTTTAAAATCTTTACTGGGCTTCAATAAGAGGCTCTGGGATAAGACTTATGAGTCACTTCTTAATGGATCACACCTTTCTTTTTCCTTTCTTATAAATTTAAAAGAAGGTCTCACATTTGGCACTCCACCGGGTTGGCATCAGGTGCTATGTTCTTCCTCCAGCGCATTCGGGAGTACTCGGTGATGAGGGACTCCATAGGCACCTCAGGGATGCCCATGGAGCGGGCAAACTGTTTGGCACCCTCTGCAGTGAGACATGCATGACTCGTCTGAAACCCAGATCACAGTAGACATAAAAAAAATGAAACTCTGCACTGTGATGGTATACTAAACTACTATACTTTATAAATGAATGCATGCTAGTTTGGCTGTTATTACAAAATGTAATGTTTACACACTCTACTTTATACCTCTTATTATTATTTGTTACATTTTTTAAAATCCTGCTGTCCCTGTATAACTGACCATATTTCGGGGTCCAGTATTGTTATATATACGTTACATAAGGAGATTGTCGGGGTTAAACCAAAATGTTTTGCAAGAAAAAGTTTATGAAAAAATGATGACAGTGTACTGTCAAAGAGGGATGCCACATTTTAAACTTTCCTGATCAGAAAACTAAGAACAAACCCCGGAACAGCTCTCTTGGATGTTTTTGAATTTGGACTGCAGTACCCATTTTAATCACTAGATGTCAGAGTAACATATTGCTCCTTTAACATCCTGAGTCGACAACATAACAGTAATACAAACACGACAACTTTGACGTTTCTACCGGTTTCCATCGGCTATCTGCCGGGACAAACGCTTAAATGATGCTTGAAATAAAAACTGAACCTACACTTTAAATGATCCTTAACTGGATTGTTGAAGGAGAAAACACTCTCCTTTATCTCTGCTGAATACTGTCCTGTGCTTAAACTGTGCAGCTGCTCCTGTACAGTGCAGGAACCTTGAGTAAATGGAGTTTTTGAATTTGATGAAGGTTTTCACTTATGAGTTAAATTGGTTTAATCTCCATAAAAACAAGCAAGATTACAAAGGGGGGGGGGGGGGTGATGGGGCATTGCTAACAAAAACGAAAACTCTGCTGTTAAGCCTACTGTCTACACCTCACTGTATACTTATAGATTTGTTGTTGCACATACAGTATGATAAAAAGATGAGCTTTAGTAAGTTTATGAACACAAACAGGCCGGAGTTTCTCCTGCCAGCCCCCTCGTATTTTTTCCAGATAAAGTCCGAGTGAGCAGATGCGAGAAGGCAGCAGGATATTATCAGGAGGAGAATGCACGACCACAGAGACATAAAATCAAACTGCCGCATCATGTTTGTTTTCTGTTCTCCAGTTTTTCTTCTCCACTATTCTTTTTTTTTTGATATTGTGATCCTGTAGAACTACACATAGCATTGATATAATATTCTGATTATAGCCTTGTATAGCGGACTGTGCTGCTTTGTTCCTTGCCTCAGGAAACCCCACTTCTGTACAAGGATAGTCTCCGGCTGTGAGCTGAAAGTGTGGACAACAAGATCAGGAGGATTTCAGGAGCAGTCCTCCTGAAGTTCTTTAAAGATTTTCAGGAGTGCATATGTCAAAACGAATTGTCTTTGCTAAATGTTAAGTGATTTGCTCATAGTGGATTAATGTTGAGTGTTTGTAAATAATATAATAAAGAGTTCGGTCTCTGTCTTTTTGTAAAGTGTCTTGTTTTGAATTGGCGTTATACAACTAAAGATTGATCCATTGATGTTAAAAGCTTCAAACCTTGTCCATAACCAGTCTTGCTAGCTGGGTTGGGTTGGCTATGTCGCGTACAGCCGACACTGCACCAGTCGCCAGCGTTTTCCCGTCCATCACAAAAGCATCCATCTCCACCTCTCCCTTCACGTTCAGCACCGACCCACAGCCTGAAATAAATACGAAGAGAGAAATCATTTGATAGAGTCCGACATCATGGGACAAAGAATGTCTCTCTGTATAACATCTTTAAAGAAAATGATCTGTGACAATTATTGTAAAATGATTCAGCAATTAAAGATGTTGTGAAAAATCCCTTTATATGTTATGAGTTATGCTTTATTTCATAGTAAAGTAATGCAACTCACTATTGTCAACGTGTTCTTGGATAAATGTGGCTCAGTGATAAGTAGTACTAAATGTTCAACAAAAGTCAAGATGGAAAAACAAAAAAAATAGGGCTTTCACACTTGCAGAAAAAACTCCTGATATTTCCAGGAGGAGCTGCATGTGTGAACGCCATCAGCCGACATTTTCACTCTGACTCTACCCGGTGTTTCTCCTGCCAGACCCTTAGTATTTTTTCATCCAGGTCAGGAGAATTTCAGGAGCAGTCTTCCCGAAATTATCTAGATATTTTCAGGAGTGCATGTGTGAAAACAAATGTGTATAATAGTGAGTGTGTGTGTGTGTTTTTGTATTACCTGCATTGAAGGAGGGGTTATTCTCCAGCTGGGTCACAGCCTCCACCACAGCGTCCATGCTGCTGCCCCCTCCCTTGAGAACAATGTACCCGGCTCGGGCTGCTGCAGACACCCCTGATGTGGAGTTTTGTGCCCGCTCCTTTGGGATATGACCCGCACCTCCATGGACCACCACAACTGGCAACATGTCAATCACCTGAGAGGCCAAGGAGCACAGTTAAAATGTCATACAAGATGAAGCCACATTATTTAATTTTTTTAAAGGGGATAACATTGTCTTTGCATTTGCAATCCAAAACGCCCAAAACGGACAAAAAGGAGAAAGTTCCCAAGTGTTGACGTGAAGTCATACAGAAAAAAACTACTTGGAGAGATTAAGCAGAAACATGGGGACATTAATGTATTTAGACTGACTGTGAAAGACATTATAATACATTCACATATTAATTAATGTTGTGATGTAAAACTAGTGCGTGCTTTAGGCTATACGGTGACCTATGTATGATAACAAGGAGGGGAGCCGGATACAGCAATACTTTGATGTTTAGGGCAGCAGTCCGTGATGACATTACCACAATAATAAACAAAGTAAACAAGGACATATCGATCGCAGAACTTATTCAACCGGAAAATCCGTTCAATCTGAGGGGCCCTTGAACGCACCATTTCTGACAACACAACCAACACCTTGTTCTCAAACAAATCGCTGTATCACCTTCAGACGTACGACGAATACATTCAAATAGAAACTCAGAATTTACCATTTATTTACAACATTTCTATCTTTACAAAATTACCCACGGTGTGTCATAGACTACAGTAATAAAGAGGTGTTGACAACGTAAATTATTGTAAAATTGGCCAAAAATTACTACCAGAAATATGAGATATATGTTGATATAGGAAAACTAAAGCAGGACTTCATTGCTGAATAGCCTAAACTGTAAGGCAGGTTCGGTGTTAGAACAGAATTGCATAATTATTACGGATTATGTGGAGACAGTTTTGAGACATGCAAAAAAGACTGAAGTTACATGACAGCCGACGCCGTTGTAAACAAGCATTGCGACGTTTTTCTTGGCGTAGAGTGAGTAAACAGACTATCACTGCAGACTATCACAGAGTGAAACAGACGTAACATACGTAGAGAATACAACAACAAATAACATGCTCTGTTATTTCTTTATCCATTCTTTCATTCAAGAAATTCTACATGTACCAGCTGCTGGCTTGACGGACTTGAATAGTGTTTCTTCTCCTCTTTCAAGCTTCTTCTTCTTCTTCTTCTTCTTCTTCTCTTCCTCTCTTTGAGGTCTATGGCAGATCTAATCCATAATGTTGCTTCAGCACCACCCTCTGGTTGTGTGTTATTCTTCTCTACCCTGCCATATCTGGTTTAGTGTTCTTTGAACAATGAAAAAGGCTATCCCTCTGTGGAAAACTATATTTTGTGCTGTCACTGTGTCACCATTTCTTGCCTTTTGTAGGAAAATTGCTGTATGTGCGCAATTCTCAATCTGTCGTTGTACTTTTTCAGCGCTGTCCCCCACACATCTTTCAACCCGTGAGGAGTTTTTAACTAGATTTTAAACAGATAGAAATTCAAAGTGGCGACTCTTCAAGACCAATAAAAGCAAACAAGACCATCAGAGACAGTGTTGCTATATTGTAATTTTCATTGCCTGTGTCTGAGTCCGTGGGAAAGGCATGAGATGAGACTTTTTACACAAGTCACCCATCCTCCACTCCACTTCTGCGTCGACTTTAGACAGCCAACACAAAATAACACAAGTAGATGAAAGTCTTTCTCACTCTACATCAGTTTATTTATTACAAGGTTACACGTGAGCTGTCTGAAGAACTTGTGCTACCCAACACCGAGGCATCCAAGAAAACAGAGTGACAGAAAGAAGAGAAGATATCAGGAGAGAAGAAGAATCCTTACACTGCAACTGTTTCATATAAACACTTTAAATTCAAACGTCATAGCTGATCCAAACTTACTGGTTCATATGTCAGCAACAAAACATCACAAAAGTCAAAAAAGTACAGACATATTCCTGTGAATAGAATTGTCTTACATCCCTTTATAACAACAGTTATACATCTGTCAATACAGACTTATGAATACACATTAGTGATGTTGTTAACTTGGAATCCTTTGGATCAGTTTTGCCATTGCACAGGATTAGCATTTCTCTCCTGTGTGAATCATCATGTGTTTGGTCAGATGGCTCTGAGAACTAAACCTTTTACCACACTCAGAGCAGCTTAAGGGTTTCTCTCCTGTGTGAACTAACATGTGTGTGGCCTTCAGCTGGGTTGGCATTAGCACTGCAGGTCAGAGTCACAATGTTGTCTTCTCTTACTGGACCGGACAGACTGACCGACACTGTGGTTTCTTCATTTTAGGGCAACCTAACTAAACTGAAAAATATTTAAAGAAAAGTGTACAACTAAAGTACAGAATTTAACCTTTTTAAATGAGGAGAAAAAAAATTAAAAAATTGAAGGACTGTCTGCCTTCACCTAGTCATGAACTAATAAAGGCAACACTGTGCCTTGGATACCTTTTTTGTGTTTGCCTACACATCAACTGTTTTCATTGTTCGCTGACATCTGCTGAAGGCTGAGGCAACTCCACAAACTTGAAGGTCACACAAAGTTGTTGTTGATTTTCTGTTCATTATTGAAATAGCTCTTTCTAGAATTGCTATAAAACAAACACTGAGACGTCCTTGTCATCTGATCCTCTGCCCCCACCTCTCTGCAGAGTGTGTAATCCTGATTTATCCACAAAGTTAGCAGTAAGTAGTTCAATCAGCTTCATTCATCTGCGTCTCTCTACTTTCCCATCTCTGTACAGGGATTTTACAAAAACAGTGACGAAGGAAGGAAGGAAGTGATGTTTAATTTCACTAGATGGCAGTGTTGTCATCAGTTGTATTGTACTGATACAGAGCATTTTTCATAAGGGAAAAGCAACAGCTGTATGTGAAGCTAATAAAAATCTTAAACTAAATTCTATCAAACATAAATGCATGGGTTTGAAATAATGCAATAGCAACTCTGACATGAAAAACAAACTACAGAATATACATCAACTACATTTTCTAGTATTTGTCACCTTATAAAATCTTTCACAAAAAAACCATGGCAGCAAAAGAGATTTCATATTTTAATGATCAGACAACAGTTCGATGACTTTGTGGTGTTACATAAGATGATCACATTTATTCATGAAGACTGAGAAATGTTTCTTCCCACTTTGAAAATATTCACTTAAACAATTACTGATTCTCTTATCTGTCACTGCTATGTAAAGTGTCCATCAGAAGTAACTAATCACATTTGTACACATTCATACGCCACCGACAAAGCAGTGTGAGCAACATTGGGTTTAGTGTCTTGCCCGAGGACACATCGGACATGTAGCTGCAGGAGCTGGGGATTGAAGTTGTATTTCTTTAGACCCCATTGTTAAAATAGAACAGTTATGATGTCAAAACAACCACTTCATTGTTCAAGTGTGTGAAAATGTTGTGAAATAGTCAATTCAATTTTTCACCAGCTGTGCATTTGATATAACACATTTACATTGCCTTATTATATTTTGCCCTCAAAATTGAAACATTTTAAAGTGGAGTTAAAGAGACCATTTGGTTTCCACTAGTTCCCGGGGTTTTAAAAAAAGCCATTAACAGATGAACTGGACTTGTTTTTATGTCCTGAGAGGATAAGTGCTGCTGGAGTGTTGAGGGCTGTAAATACAAATCAGTGATGAAGAGAATACAAAAAAAACATAGTCTTTAACCTGTTTTAGAGCTTAGGTCTCTGAGACCACAAACAGAACTGATGCATTATTTTGTCTATGCATCAACAGCTTCAGTTGTCAAAAGAGTTCCACAGCCTCAAAACCTTTTAAGGAAAAAGATAATAGCCACATATACTTTAAAACACATGTAGATTAATTAAGGTGCAGTACAAAGAGAGCCTAATGATTCTTGCTTGAAGCCAGAATAATCTACAAGAAGTCCATAAACTGGGTCTCTGAGACCACAAAGAGAACATTGTTTGCTTCTTGTGTTGATTTCTTGAAGCGTCTTTCTTATAATAATAATTTAAAGCATTGATTAATGAGGAGGATTTTAGTCTAAGGACTCTTTGTAAACTATTTGGATTCATGTGTATTCCACTATAAAGTCAAATTCATGTGAAAATTTATTTTGACTGATCTTGACTCATGACTCGTGCGTCTACAACTTTGGATGGAGCCCTGCCTTTACACACAATTTGCCCGTTATCTTCCTTCATTCTTATCTGAGTGAGACTTCAACATATCCAAAATCTTTGTCTGGAGCTCCTTGGCTTTATTTGCGTTCTCTCCTTTCTCCACCTGATCTCCTGCCACCTGGAGGCCTTTAAGCACCGACTGCAGGGCATCTGCATTCTTCACTGAGTCCATCTGGTCTCTGTCTGCCTGGATCTCCTCCACCCAGTCCAGGTAGGCCTGCAGTAATCCAAGGTCATCCACAAAGTTCGCAATAATCCGGAGTCCTGGTCGGCGTTGCTCCAGCTCCCTCAGCCTCTTTCTCCCCACCTCTCCGATGTCATTCCCAACAATGCTGATAAAGAAGAAAATAACCAGGTGAGAGGCATTAACTTAACACTAGATGGCATTGTTGTCACCACTGGGCAGAATAAAATGTGTTGTAATCTTACGTCAGCGTCTTCAGAGAAGTGTTTTTGCTGAGACAGTTGACAATGTTTTCAGTTCCTCGCTCTGTGATGCCAGTGATGTCTAGATAGAGTTCCTCAACAGTGTTGTTGTGCTCCAGGGCGTTCCACAGCTCCAAAACTCCCTCTGGACCCAGGTTGTTGCCACACATACTGTTTGCAAAGGTAGAAAACCAATTTATAGAAGTATCTAACCCCTACTAATTCGTTATTTGGATCCAGCAGTTTATGCAGATCTTAGTAAGCATCACGTTCCCTGAAAGAAAATCCTTTAAGAAGTCTAGATTTCAACTTGTGCAACAGCTAATTATATGAGCATGAGCGCTTTTTTAAGGGAATTTCAGTTAGCAACATAAGCCGTTTAGCAAACACTGTCACGACTATTGGTATACTGACACTGCATAAAATTTAAATCTACTCATAATTTTTAAAGCTCTTGGTTTAATGATTTGTCTGTCACTTCAATGACGTGAATCGATTTATACATTGCAAGAAACTATCTGATCATTGAACAGCTACAACACTGACAAAAATGACGTCATTGTAAATATTCATACTTTTCTAAAACATTGCTAGTCCTAATATCCTATTACTAAAATGTAACATTGTTACTTGGCCAGTAGACTGACTGTAAAACATCAACAAATTAAGTTTGATTTAATTCTTATGAAGTTGAAATCTAAATTGGTGCATGTTGAATGTAAGTGATGCAGATGTCTTTGTAAAAGAAACAAAAAAAGTGTTATTTTTTCATACTGTTCCAGTAGATATGAACGTCATGTACATGCTTCAGAGTGTTGTGATAGCTGGAAATAAATAATTCCAGGACTTACAAGAGTTTTTTCACTTGGCACTCATTTGATTTCAGAACTGCAGATTCTAAAAGAGCTGCTTGTCTATCCAGGCAGTTGTATCTCAAACTGAAAGAAAACAAACATATACATAAAGTTTACATTTTTTAACCATTCATCGTTTAATCTTTCTAAATTGCTAATCAAAACATGCTTGTGGGTCCACTGAGGCCAATCTCAGTCGGCACAAGGTTGGTTGAACCACAACCAGGTTGTATAAAACATGGGTGATGTCTCAGTGATGTCACCCAACGTTATGGAAATCAACAATGGCAGTTAATATTATAAATGCTGATTCAACTTACTTCCTGCTCATGAAGAAACAGGCAAAGAGGTTGAGTTGAGGCGGGCTGTATGAATATTATGGCTGCTGAAACACATCTATCTAGCTTGTCTATCTTCCAGCTAGCATATTACAAACAATGAAAATGTCACAGACGAAGCTGACAGGTTAAGGTCAGTAACTGGATTTTGCCGAAGTGAAGCCTTGCCTCTTGCCAAATGCAGACTGGGATAGGCCCCAGGAGCAAACAGCTGCAGGTACGTTGAAGCTTTTTGCTCCTTGCAAACCACTGCAACACACATGCCTGTAAACCAAATCTGCCATTCCCCTTATTATGCACAACTGTTAGCCTTCATACATTTTTAATGAAAATAGATGAGTTATCATAGGGTACGAGGCTTTAAACACGTTTATTTCTGCTGTACAAATGGGC